TGATTTATTAACGGTAATAACTGATAGGTTTTATAGTGCATTAGATAGAGGAGGAGAGGCTAAGGTTATTGCTCACAACATTTTTTAAGCTTTTAATAAAGTTTGGCATGATGGTCTTCTCCATAAACTTTCTTCATAAGGTGTATCAGGTAACATCTTTAAGATAATTGAATCCTTCTATACCGATAGTAGTATAAATGTTCTCCTCAATGGACAGCACTCTTTTTCATATCCTGTAACTTTAGGGATTCCTCAAGGTTCTATTCTTGGCCCTATACTCTTTTTTATTTACATTAACAATCTTCCAGATATTCTCACATTTAAGGTGGCATTGTGAGCTGTTGATACTACCATTTATTCTTGTCTTGATAAGTAACCAATACTCTCTGATTGCTTGGAGTAGGCATTTGAGCTTGAAAAGGTTCTCACTTCTGCTACAGAATGGGTCTCAGTGACTGGTGAACTTAAACTCAGATAAAACTCAATTTTTTTCAGCCAATCGTTATCACAATAATCTAGATCTTCCTATATTTATGAATAGTAATGTACTTGATGTACCCTTCATCTTCTAGGATTAACTCCGTTCTTTCTTAGAAACCATATATCAAATCCATTGCAAAACTAGGTTTACTAAGTCCATTGCTAAGGTTGCATGTCTTTATCATGCTTGCCATTTTCTTACTTCCAATTCTATTCTTTATCTTTATCAATCTCAAATCCGTCCTTGTATGGAATACTGGTGCCATATCTGGGGCTAATCTTCCAATGATGCTCTTTCTTTTTTAGACAAGGTGCAAAAACGTATTGTAAACATATTGGACCTACTCTTGCAGATATCCACGACCATCATCATATCATCAAAATGTTACTTCTCTTTCTCTTTTCTACATATACTATAATTGGCACTGCCCTAAAAAGGTAGCGTTTTTTGTGCAATTTACTAAAATTCATTCTCGTGTTACTTGTCATTTAATTAAGCCTCATCCTTTTATTATGACTGTTCCTAAGTGCCCCAAAAATTCTTATTTTTCTAATTTTTTTTTCTTAAGATCAGTTTTTTGGAATTCGTTTCCTTCATCTTGCTTTCCTGATTCATATAATTTGCAGCCTTTTAAGTTGTCTGTCAATCATTATCTTGCTCTATAAACTTCATCTTTTCTCTTCCAGTAACTTCCAACTCTAAAAGTGGTTGCTTGCAACCTTGTTGGAAGCGAAGTTGTTGAAATTTTTTTTCAACGTCTTTGCTTCCAAAATTGAAATTTTTTTCAGGTTAAGATTTAAAGTGTCAGGGTAAATATGTAAAATCTGCACAACAAAGAAATGAATTAAGTTGATCAAGAACAATAACTTTTTTTTTTTTAATGAAAAAAATAATGTTGTCATTAACGTTAATAAAACGTTAATAAAAATAATGTTGTCATTAACATTAAGCAAGATCATTCATTCAAAAGTAAAAATAAAATTTTATTTTTTAATTGATGTCAGTTATAATATAGTTTAGATTTTTTAATATGTTTAATATTTTATATTTTTTTATTTATTCTTATTATTTAAAAACTCTTTATTTACATTTTTACTGTTTATCTAAAGTTAGGTAAAAATCTTTGCATACTAATATACTTCAAAAAAAGTTATACTTTTTTATTAAGGGATTATAAAATACTTTTGGTAAACTAAATTTGCTGTTAAAGTACACAACAACAACAAAAAAATCAAAAGTGGGTCGGTCATTCCATGTCAAATGGACCAAACTTTTAGGATTTCAACATGAACTCCTCATATTCTGATGAAACTTTGTGGGTTTCTTATTATTATTGAGAAAAGCAATTCCTGAAAATTTCAGCATAAATTCTTTAGTGGTTCGTGAGATTAGGTTATTTGAAGTTTCTTATTTTTCCAAAAATAAAAACTTTATAAGCAAAAACATGTTTTGTTCATACTTTTAAGCTCTATATTTTAAAAACAAAATTCCAGATGACCTTCTAGTTTTTTTTTTTTTTTATTGTTATCAACTTACAAGTCATTGCAACTGTGCAGAATGCAGTCTTGATTTGTTAAGTCACATACAACTTATGTCAAGGGGTCTTTATAGTCTGAAATATCTAGTATTTGTAATGCTAAAACTTTTGCATTCTGGTGGTACTCACAAACACATATTTAATGGAGACCTAAAGCACCTCCAATAAAAATACACCACTTTGGTCTAAGTTTTTTAGCGCAAATTCATTTAAAAGATTCAATGTTTATATTGATTTTTTATTACATAATAATATTTTTTATAACATAATCAACTTGTGCATTGTGTTGACCAGTCTTATAACTCTTATAACTTGTTATCTAAGTAGCAATCTAAATTTGAAAATGATATCCAAATAAGTCAAATTAATGAGGAGAGGTGTATGTAGTGAATGATTTGGAAAAACATAAAATTTATAGTCATGATATCAAATATTAGGTAAATTAGACTAAAAAGTTTTTTCTTTTCATTTTTACCTAATACGCTACTTAAATATTATTATTCTACTTAAACATATAAGTTTTATATGAAAACATTAAAAACTAAATTTCAAGTTTTATATGTGTATGTTTAGTGGTGTATTTAGGTATAAAGGCACTTCATACATGAGACATAAAACCAGACACACCATGAAGGAGAAGTGTTCAATTACAATTTTTTTTCTATGTTTTGGGAAAAAATCTGGATATTAAAAAATAAATGGATGGGAGAGGGGGCAGGGGGCAAGAAAGAGCTAGGGTTTTTAAAAACTGAGTTTAATTTAGGCTTATTTAAAGACTTATTTCTAGTACTGATTATGAAATACTTTTAAGTTCATACATAATTATTGTATTACAATATAAAGTACAAACTTAAGTACAACAACTTTATTTTATTGTTTTTAATGCATTTTGGGCAATATTCATTGTTCTGATTTTGTAACTTCCCCATGATTACCCACTATTTTTTTTTATGAAATCACTGTAACAAAGTCTATTAAATTAGAAGAAAAAAAAATCTTATTAAAACCAGTGTTGATCCTAGGTTACCGGTGGTTTGAAGTGGAAGCACATTTTCTTAAGTTTTAGCCACAGCCATTTTTAGAAGTCTATAATTTTTTCTGAATCGTATCTTATCAGTAAATTTCTAAAAATTTGGAAACCTACCATATAAAGAAACTAAAAAAATATGTCTTTTCACTTCTTAAACTGCAGGTTTTGTATATTTGAATCATCAAAAATCAACTTTTTATATTTGCAAACAATTTTTTAGGTTTTTTGGTAGCCATTATGGAAAAATGGTGACATTCGCGAATTCAATGTCAAAGTTTCATCAAAGTAAGCGCGTTTTAGAAGATCTTTTAGCCGTATTTGTACTATACCATCTATTTAAATGTTCTTGAGATAGCATTTAGCTTTTGAAGATCTTATACCACTATATAAAGGATTTATGTGGCAGCCATTTTTTTTAGCATTCCCTAGGAGCTGATATGTTGATTTTGATGTATCACCATTAATAATTAATGCTAAGCTTCATCAGATGAATATATCTTAGCAACTTTAATGGGACTTTTATTTCATATTTCAGACATTTTTGCGCCAATATTGTACTTAAACTCACTTCTTAGTTTCAATTTTGTTGCATGACTTCCCAACTTCAACAACTGATGATGTAGCATTTAATGTACTGTAGATGTATTCAGTGCTCGAAGTGGGGCAAAATGCGACGGGATGCCATCCTGTCACCTTTATAAAAAGTATAAACCATCCCGCCACCTTTTTATAAATCTGTATATATAACAATATTAGACGGGATGGAATTTATAATTTGCCGAATATCATCCCGTTTTTTTTCTCCACTTCAAGCACTGTGGGTATTGAAAATTTAGAGCTAGGCAATTTTCATTACTTCTTTCAAAATAAGTATTATCATTGTTTGCAGCTATCAACTTTTTACAATATAACTTTATAAAATTTTTTACTCAGAAACCTCTAGTTTAATATCTGCAGAATATGAATCAGCTAATTTCGATGAAAAGAATGGTATGTCAACTAGTAATGGTAATATCAACTAGGAACTAATTTATTTTCTCATATAAGTCAATAAATGTCACCAATTTTGATATTAATACTAAACAAAAAAACAAAAAAATTGTTAGGTAAACAGTGCAATTTGTATTAAATTAAATAACAAACAAAATAAAATGTATATTTGTTTACAAGAAACAAAAAATGATTTCAAAAAAATAACATAAGTTACAAGTCATTACTTTAAAATGTTAAAGAAACCAAAAAAGGGAAGTTAGGGGCAATGTATATAGTTCAAATAGGTTGTATACATAATACATTTACTACTTCAAGTATTTAATATAGGTTCTTGTAGGTTCCCTAAATTATGTGATACTTTTTGTACAAAATAAAAATATTAAATGTTAAAACCTTGTTATTTTAAAGCCAGATCATAAGTATATAAAGCCAGATTTTACTTTACTTTATATTTTTTTCATAAAGCTTTAGTGTTAAATAATTTAAATATATAAACTAATCCCATAAGTTCAAAAAATTTCAAAAAAGTTACTGTTTATTATAGCTGCGCATAAAAAATTAAAAGTTTATATATATATTTTTTTTAAAAATATTTTAATTATACATGACACCGTCACTGATTTCTGTGGTTTTCAAAGATACTATTATACTCAAAATAATTTTCAAAATTTTAAACGAGAGTATTACAAATATGTTTTATTATATGGTTTTGAATATAATATATATTTATTTTTTAGGTTTTGTTCACCCACTTTGCATGGCTTGCCTAAAAATTTTTTGTAAATGCCGATTTTTTTTTACACCAATGTGAATTAATATTCACATTAGTGTAAAAAAAGTCATTTATATCTAGTAATCATCCTCTAACATGAATTAAGCTAGGAGTAATGTGAATATTAACATTTTAAAGATTTTAATAACATATATTCAGATGTTAAGGTAAAAAAATATATACTCACAGCCTTTAGGATCATATCTGTCATAATTTAACACATACTTGTCATTACTTGAGCCAACAATGACGTTATAATACATTGTACTTAATTTTATATCTTTACTTATAAAGTAATCAACTCTCATATCTGAAAAAAAAGTACTTGTAAGTTGATTCAGTTTTTTTAAACCAATCCATTGTTGATTAACTAAACCAAAACCATCTTCATAAGACTTAAATGTCTTATCCCAAAATGTTGGTTCCCAACTTGCGAATCGTGTCATTATTGGAATCCATGCGCTTTTATAAAGTTGCACAACTTAAAAAAAAAAAAACTCTTCTATACCTTTAAACTTTAAACTATAAAAGGTAGTAGTAGTTAGTAAAAAAAATTGCATCTATTTAAATTACATATACAGACTAATTAATTACATATACAGCATGTATAACACAGTACAGGAGAATACACCCCAAAAACTAAGGCACCCCAAAAACAGTGTGGTCAGTTACATGGCTATAAAAATTAAAATCTGTATTTTAAAACCATAAAAGTTTTATGAATGTTCCAGCAACAGTTAAAGTAGAAAGCAAAGAAAACAATAAAATTTTTTTTTTTTAGTTTAAAAAAATAATGCATTTTAAATTTAAAAAATTGTATAGAACTTTTGGAATAATCAAGAACAATTACTATAAAATAGTGGTCTTTAAGACTAAGTTGGCAAACCCAATCAAGTTTACTTCTCTTTGATATACTCTATAAATAGATCGATTTTAAGTAGTAAAAAATTTTAAAATGTACAATTCAACATATGGTTTTCAGGGTGCATTAAAAAAAAATTAACCAGAATCAATCTTTTTAATTGAACTTGTACAAAATTTATATAAATATCTCATTAAATATTTCTATCATTTTTTTTTAGCACCTGCTAATAAGATAATTTCTGGATTTCATTTATTTACTTTGCAATTGACATTGCTGCAAACAGACTTCATAACTTAGGACAGGTTGGATACTGCTTCAAGCTGAAAGCTTTACATTATATGTCCCCACAATAACATCGAAATTTTTTGAATTTTCTCTTTCTTTTTTTGCAGCATCTCCTTATTCTTTTAACTTTTGTTCTTTTTTTTTATTTTTTTTAATGGTTTCATCTACATTAATACATTGTTTGCTGTCATTGAACCATGTACTTCCTTAACACGTGTCATAGCTTGACCTTTTTGGTTGACATAAAACCTGGTATTTTTTCCAGTTGGATACTTTTTTCATTAATCAGCTCCATAACTTGTTCAACTTTAATTTCCAGTAACTTGCTGAACCAAGTCTTTTATCAGGCAAAGAAACTAAGGGAGAACTGTTTCTCTACTTCAATACAGTTTTCTGCTCTTTCAAACTTTCATTTTAATTTATTCAGTTGTCATCTAATAAAATTTCAAACTTACTCTGTGGTGGTACCCATACGCTTGCGCACAGAACAACAATCTAAACTTTTTTTTAAATGATATTTTCAAATCTATAACATTTCTGCATAGTTTTTTAAATTTTTTATATTTTTTGTTTAATAATATTCCTGTACCTTTTATTAACTCTCAATTCTGGAAAGTTTGTAGGATTTGCTGTTTAGACATAACTTTCACACCATTTTTGTTTATTGCAATCCATAGACAATTTACTATAATGACAATGACTTGATGATAAATCGAAGCAAAACATAAAGTCTACTATTATGTCATTTAGTGAGAGGTAAAAGACATTTTTGTAAGCTCTTTAACATATATTTTACTTAACAGCGCGGACTCAGAAACATAGTCTGCTGATTCTCAGGACTCAGAAACATAGTCTGCATTTGGCTCAGGTGCAGATTTAAATACACAAGAAATTCCAATACACAAATATAAGAAATTCAAATATGCACAAATACACAAAAATATACAAATACTCAAAAATACACAAATACACAAAAATACACAAATACTCAAAAATACACAAATACACAAAAATACACAAATATAAGAAATTCCAATACACAAATTCAGAAATTCCAATACACAAAACATGATAAGTTTTCTAAATAAGGTTTCATTTGGCAAGTTAATCTCAGGTCAGCTTATTTAGAAATCTATTATTTTGTGTATTTGAATTTCTTATCTGCCTTTCCTCTACAATCGACATTATAATAGACAGTACCAGAAATTATAATAGTCAGTACCAGGAATGATGAGAATGAGCTGATGATCGTACTTTGTGTAAGTTTCATCATCTTCAATAATATAAAAAATTTAAAGAAAAATAATTTTCATACAAATTTCTGCTGTGGTTTTTGCACTTTTTTTTTAGAATTTCAGAATGATTTGGCACTTTTTGTGATTATTAAAAATAAAGACCATGTTTTTAGGAAACAAGCATTCTTCAGTTTATCTAAGAGTATAATGTAATTCTTTATTCATGTTTTTATGTTTACTTTAACAAAATTCTAATAAAATTAACGTTAGTTGAATTATATGATGAATAAAAAAGCTTTAGTTGAATTATATGATGAATAAAAAATACTTTTTTATAACCATTTTATGCTTTGTGTAGTTTTCAAAATTTAAAATGATTGAAACAATTCTTCTTGAGTTAAATAAACAAAAGAAATATTTAAATCGTTGAATTAATAAAAAAATATTATAACTTTTCTTTTAGCAGTGTCTTTTAAATGTTTAGAAAAACTATGCAATATGACAGACCCCTGAAACAGCAGTTTATAATGGATACTGATCCAAACTACAGACTCTGTATAGATTTAATAAATATATATTTTACTTAAGTCTATTGGTTTATTATACTACAAAATATATTATAAAATAAAAACTTTATATAATAATACAAAAACTGCATTCTAAGTGAATTACAGTTAAATCCCGTTAACTCGGAAACTGGATAAGTTGGACTTTTACTAAATCGGACCGAATTTCATTTACCCTTAAACATTCTTTATCAACTTACTGTAAAATCATTCACTTAAGTCTTACCCTGGTTAAGTCGGACCATTTGCTAACTCGTACTGTTTTTTGAGGTCCTTTTAGTAAAAAACTTCGCTTAACTAAGACTTTTATTTTGAGTTACATTTAAGTGCATATAATAGGAAAACTTTCAATACTTCAATAAAAATCCCAAACTTTAAATGTTTGAAAATAAAATACTTTTGTGTCAAATATAATTAAACATAGCTAAACATTTTCACAGAGATCTTTTGTTTTAGTTAAGCTTTATTGTTTAAAACAATATAAGGTATTTTATCATTTCATTTTTTCATTGGTATTTACGTTTTTTTCAGTCATTTGTTTAAAAAATAATAATATGCATGGAACTTTTATTTCTATTCCATCGCCCATGAACCAATAAATTATCAATCCAATTCTTCTGTTTTAATTTGTTTAAAGTCATTACCACATTTGGCTTTCTACCATGCACTGCATGAAATGTAAATAAAGTCCTAAACCATAGCAAATAAAATTTATGCTGATTTTAAAGTTGCTTTTTTTATTTTTCATAAGTGAAAGTCAAGATGTTACTAATGAAATGACTGCTCCTTAGAGGGAAACAACTTTGCCGACAATATTGTCTCGTTATAACTCACGTGATATATTTAATGCAGATAAGTTCAGTTTGTTTTATAAAGCACTTCCAAAAAAAAGTTCGAATTTATAAGGTGAGAAATTTATTGGAGGTGAGAATCGCAAGTGTGCAGAAAAACTTCCAATGTTTGTTATTGAAAAATCAAACAAACCCTGTTGCTTTAAAGGAATTAGAAGCACTCCATGTTGTTACTGTGCACAAAAAAAGTGTTGGATGAACTCTGAACTATATGAGGAGTGGGTTAGAGAAAAAAAATAAAGTTTGCATTAGAAAGCTGTAAGGTAGCATTGGTTATTGATAATTGTACCGCCCATTCGAATATTGACAATCTTAAATTGGTCACATTTTATCTTTTCTCCCCAAACACAACTTCATGTTTGCAGCCAATGGATCAAGAAGTCATTTGATCTTTGAAGTGTAAGTACCGAACTAATTTAATTAACAAGATCATAAATGCTATTGATAACAGAAAACAAATGCCTTCAATCTCCATACTTGATGCTATGAAAATGCTTGTTCATTCTTGGAATGAAGTTTTAAAAACCACTATTATTAACTGCTTCCACAAAGCTGGATTTAAGGAAGGAGTAGGAGTACCAGGCAAAGATGAAGAGTACTTCCCTGCACTAAAAATTCAATTGATCAGTTACATCAGCCTGATAAGGATCTTGTTTCGGATGATTACGAAGATATGTTAACAATTTTTTCCGATACTTACAAAGATATGTTAACAATTGATGATGACCTTTGGGTTATGGGAGAAGTGATGACAGATGAAGATATTGTTCAAAATATCATTGAGTTAGTTGAAAAAGAAGTGCAAGAAGAAGAAGAAAACGAGACATCGGATAAAACGGTGACAAAGCCAACAAATGAAGAAGTTCGTAAAGCAATTGATACTCTTGTTAATTTTTCAAGTCAAACATTTCCAAAAAGTCCGACTTAACAAGAGCTTTACTTAATTTGTATATTTGCTAAGTCAGACAATAAACATATACCCCTTGAGAATACGAGTTAATGGGATTCTACTGTGTATTTGTATGTATTTTGTATTTTGCAAACTTAAAGCAAGTTTTTATTACATAAAATTATTTTATGTAATAAAAATCTCATAACTTTTATGGTTAAACTAAAAAAGTAAAAGTTATTTACGAAGAGAAAGCAAAACTGCCTCACAATACCGCTGATGATGTTTAGTTTTCAGTATATTAGTATGTTTATGTTCTGGCGCAGTTCTAGTTGACGTGTAAGTCACTTTATATAAATGTTATAGATCTGATATTTTTTCTCTTTGGTTTTTAATCAAGCCTCATTCTACTTCACGTTTTTAATCTTTTTGTGCAGTTGCTATATTAAATCATTATCATTTTTTTGTCTTTTTTACAAATACATCTCTATTGAGAACAAATGGTTATTTAATATATCAAGAATTCAATGTAAAAATGTCCTGTCTGGTACTAAGCTCCATTATTCTCAGTTTACAAAATTGTGTATCTTATCACAGATGTTAGGTTCTAGAGACTTTTGAAAAATCTCATATTGACTCTTACAGCCTTACAAAAGCATTCAAAATTTTACTTAAAATGACTGCATTTGCAATTACTTTGAAAGAAACTATGCTTAAACTTAACGATTGCTTTCTTTTTTTTTCTTCCTCAAAGTGAAGTAATATTTGTTTGCACTAAAAAAAATTATTT